TGATGGTGCACGCCTTTAATGCCAGCACTCGGGAGGAAGAGGCAGGTGGATCTCTGAGGTCGAGGACAGCCTGGTCTACAGAGTGAGTTCCAGGACAGCTAGGGGTACATGGAGAAACCCTGTCTTGAAACAAAAAGAAAGAAAAGGGAGGGAGGGAGGGAGGGAGGGAGGAAGGAAGGAAGGAAGGAAGGAAGGAAGGAAGGAAAGGAAGAAAAGAAAGAAAAGAAAAAGACAATAGTGAGTGAGCTCATTCCATTACTTACTTTTATGAGTGTGGTGTGAGCATGTGTATAATAGATATGCATGTATGTGTGCAGAACTCAATGCTCATGCTCATGTGCCATACAGAAGAAGACATTGGGTGTTCTGCATTGTCATTCTCTGCTTTATTCCCATGAGACATGGTCTGCCACTGAACCTAAGCTACACTGGCAGTTATGGAGCCCAAGCAAATATTTTTGCTTTTCAATTTACTGTTATTATTGTGTGTATATGTGTGGTCTGTGGGGGGCTGGGTATTTGTACCACAGTGGGAACGTGGAGAGTAGGGGACAACTTTGTATATTGTTATTCTCTTTCCACCTTCACATGGGCTCCAGGGATTGAACTCAGGCCTCCTGCCGCGTCATCTTGCTGGCCAGATGCCCAGGTTTTTTAAATGTTTGTATGGGAATTTGAATTCCATTCCTTATACTTGCTGGTAAGCGCTCTCACCCACGGAGTTACCTCTCCAGCCCCTAGTTCTGCCTTGTGTGTGTCACTGTCCAGGTTCAGGGACACTATCAATAGCTTGTAACTTATTTCATCTCTAGTAAGTTTTAGTATTTTTTTTTTCTCCTAGATAGAAGGAGTTAGCAAAGTTTAGTCTAACTAGCTTTAAAGATCATACTACTTATAAACTTTTCATTTTATTAAAAAGTATTACATGTGCTCATCTGTCTTCATATAATGAAAAGATGTAAGGCATTGACAAGCAGAGGAGAAAAGTATTTCCATTTTTGAAGGATTCAGTATGGGGAAAGGCCAGTTTTGACAGTCCCAAGGAACCTGAAGGCTGAGGTCAGGTGACTGTTGCTGGGGAATCCAGTGAAGAGATGGATTGTCACGTATTGTGGCAGGCAGTGTGGCTTTGAAGTCACCTAGCTAGGCTAGATTCCACTTCCATTTGCACGTTGGGTATCTCAGCAAGTCCTCCGCTCCAGTTAAAGTGAAAGTGACGGTAAGCCTTGCCACCTTGCTGTCAGCTGGTTGGGCTGATCTGGGAAAACTACATGTACAATGTCCGGCAGATAGGAAGCCTTGGCCAGATGCTGCTAGTGAATGAGTGCTGCAGAGGAGGGTGTAGGCTTTGTGTCCTTTGTGTTGGTCCTTGGGGCCACCTTTTATTTTGTTCTTGTGTGAGGGAACCATGGCAACTGTTTCCCTTCAGGTTTGTCTGCTTCAGAGCTATCAGTTCAACACAATTATTGATGAAGAATCTCCCAAGTTACTGATTTTTACTCTTTAGTTCTTTTTCTTTCTTTATGTCTTTAGAACATCTTTCTTGGCTATAGTTAGTGCTATATTCAAGTATATTTTTGAATCCTTTTTTATCTTTGGTTTCTTGAACTATTGTTTGGTTTTTTTTTGAGACAGGGTCTCTCTATGTATCCCAGGCTGGCCTGGAGCTCGGATCCACCTGCCTCTGCCTTTTTCCATTGCTGGGATTAAAAGCGTGCACCACCACACCTGGTCCAATTATATTTTATATGCTTTTTTTGTTGTTGTTGTTTTGTTTTGTTTTGTTTTGAGACAGGATTTCTCTGTGTAGACCTGGCTGTCCTGGAATTCACTCTGTAGACCAGGCTGGCCTCAAACTCACAGAGATCTGCCTGCCTTCGCCTCCTAAATGCTGGGATTAAAGATGGACACCATCATGCCCAGCTCTATATGTGGTTTTAATCAGACCATTTGTTATTCTTTTCTGTCCAGCTTCATGATTTTCTTTAAAAAAAAAAAAAAAAGATTTGTTCTATTTTTAGTTAAGTATATGTGTGTGTCTTGAGTGTGGGTTTATGCACGTGGGTGTGAGTGCAGTGCTTGTGAAGGCCAGAAGGCTTCATTCCCTGGAGCAGGAGTTAAAGGCCACTGGGAGCCAGCTCTAGAAATAGAACTTAGATCCTCTGCAAGAAAACCAAGTGTTCTTAACTGCTGAGCTATCTCTCTAGCCTGCTTCTTTTTCTTTTTTAAATAAGTAAAATGTAGGGTTTGAAAGTCAAAACTATATCCATTTTCAAAACTCTTATACCACGTTTCCACTTAATAGCTAAACATTATTATTTAATTTCTTGGTTATGTTTTCTCTGTTTCTTTCCAAAGCAGGCAATTAATTTATTTATATTTATTTTTTTATAATATAGTAGGAGGAAATATATTTTTTTTAAAGACTTATTTATTATGTACACAGTGTTCTGTCTGCCTGTATGCCTACATGCCAGAAGAGGGCGTCAGATCTCATTACAGATGGTTGTGAGCCACCATGTGGTTGTTGGGAATTGAACCCAGGACCTCTGGAAGAGCAGCCAGTGCTCTTAACCACTGAGCCATCTCCCTAGTCAGGAAATATTTTTCTATAGAGTGATATATAAATATCTTTCTATAGAATTATATATAAATTATTTTATACTTTGCTTTTTAAGGTTAACAACATAACCTGAATTTGTTATGAGAATTCTTTTGCACACTTCTCTTCCCCTGCCCGAACCTGCCCTTCTTTCTTCCACCCCACTGCATAAGGCTATTGTGAAGGTTTCCTTGCCTAGTTATCTCTTACATAGGAACACTTATGTTCTTTTCAAGTAATATTCTATAGACTTTGTTAAGAATGTATAGGAGGGGGGAGGGGGTGGGAGGAGAGGCGAGAGGGGAAACTGCAATTGGGATGTAAAATAAATGAAAATTTTTAATTAATTAAAAAAAGAATGTATAGGAAAGGCTGGAGGGGTGCATCTTTCAACAGCTACCCACACTTGACGCGCTTGCAGAGGACTGAGGTTTGGATCTTGGCACCCACATGATGGCTAATATCCAGGGGATCTGACACCCTCTTCTGGACTCAGGTTCCTCTCTGTACATGGTGCACAGAGACCGGTACAGGCACACACATACATGTGAAAGTAATAAGTCTGAAAAGAAAGGACACATGGTGAAGAACCTTATGAATATGTGGCTAATGGTTTGGGAAATGTGAATATTCAGAATGAATTTGTAGACGTGAGCTAGCTTATAGGTTCCAGGGCAGATGCACTTTTGTTAGCAGATGCCTGGGAACAGCAAATAGAAAGGCTCTTAGAGGGGCATGGAGGTACCGGTGGAAGCAGTGAGCAGCAAGGAGACCCCACGAGACAGGTCTGGAGGTGGAAGTGGGTGTTCAGAATCCCACAAACTCATGGGAGGGTTGAATTGGAGCACTTGCCGCCTGTTCTGTGTTCACTTCCGCACTCTCGGCAGGTAGACAGGACTGGTTCCCGGAGAACAGAATGTGGTCTGCCCCCTGTGTTATCAGGCTGTTGGGTCAGAGCGGGAGATGTTACCTGCCCTGCAGGCAGGAAGACTTCACAGATGAGCTGTGGTGTAGAGGACAGGATTGAAGGGGCAGCTGAAGGCGCAGGGCCTCACTCCCAGCTCTTGAAACTTGTAGAGAAGAACTATGGTAGACCCATGCTTGCTTGGCAGATGATGCTCAGAATAGGGTGTTTATGAATAGGAATGAGAAGGAAGTTGGAAACAGATAATTAAATGGGATCTTCTTAAAGGAGCTCTTGGATTCTCGGGGAAATTTGGGTATTTTAACTTAATAGTGGAGTGTCACTATACATTTCTGAAACAAATTATATATTTTTATTTTTATTATTTTTGTTTTTTCAAGACAGAGTTTCTTTCTGTAGTCCTGGCTGGCCTGGAATTCTGTAGTTCAGGCTGGCCTTGAACTCAGAGATCCAGGTGCCTCAAACTCAGAGATCCAAGTGCTAGGATTAAAGGTGTGCAGCACCATGCCTGGCTTAATTTGTTAATATTTCGATATATGTCTTGAAAATACATTCCTTTAACACTCTTAAGAATGTGTGGGTGGGGGGGGAGACTGGGGGGTAGGAGGAGGGAGGACAAGGGGAATCCATGGCTGATATGTAAAATTAAATTAATTATAAAATTAAAAAAAAGAATATGTATGTTTAGCACTAATCACTTGTTCACTGTTTTTCTTAGTGTCTTGGTTGTAACTTCACATTTACGTTAGAACAGTGGTTCTCAACCTTCCTAATGCTGTGACTCTTTAATACAGATCCTCATGTTATGGTGACCCCCCCAACCATAAAATTATTTTTGTTGCTATTTCATAACTGTAATTTTGCTGCTGTTATGAATTGTAATGTAAATATCTGATATGCAACTCCTGTGAAAAGGTCATTCAATCCCCAAAGGGGTTATGACCCAAAGGTTGAGAACCATTGCGTTAGAAGAATATCCCCAAACTTGGAGTATTATAATTAAGTTTCCAGTTGTTCGCTGATAGACTATACACAGAGACTAACTAGTTGCAGGTGAAAAACACACACAAAAGCCAGGGTAGAAGACGACATTTAAAGGTTTTAAAGAATGTAATAAATACTTGTTCTGGTGGAAGATCTGCCTCAACTCCCCTCCCCCATCCCTTTCCCCTAACCTGCGCCTTCAAAACCCACCAAACACAGCTCCTCCCCCAGAGAGGCTCAAGACCGGTCCCACAGGGTATATAAGCTACATCCCAGGAAACAGACACTTGGTTTTCCAGTCTCTTGTCCCTGTCTCCTCTCTGGGGAGCTGGAGAATCACCCGGGAATGCTTTACCCATTAAACCTGGGCTTTTTCTAATTCGGTCTGATTCGGTCTGATTTGGATTGCTGAGTTGGTGGAGAGGCCTATTGGTGGAAAAAATTTATCAATACTGCTTTTTGAATTTTTTTTTTTTTCTTTTTCAGTTTTGAAGAGGAGGTGGTAATTTGTCCCTCTCGTCATTCTTGTGATGGTAAATTCAGAGTTGTGTGTTCAGGGCTCTGCCACTAGCCACACGAGTCTTCAGAGCACTTGAAATGTAGCTGGGGCCATTTCCCGATGTGCTCTAACTGAAGTTTACATTTCAGATCTTAGGGTCTTTGTGTGTAAAATGAATGCAAGATATTTCAATCATAATTTTTAAAATATGGATTGAAGGGGCTGGAATGATGGCTCAGTGGTTAAGAGCACTGGCTGCTCTTCTAGAGAACCTGGTTCTGTTCTCAGCACCCACATGGTAGGTCACAGCTGTCTGTGACTCTGATCCAAGGGGCCCCTTCTGGCCTTGTGGACACCAGGCATGTTCACAATATGTGCAGACATTCATGCAGACATAGCACCCACACATAAAATTAAAAAAAAATATTGAATGCTAAAATGGTGTTATCTCATATTTATTAAGTTTAAGTTTACTTGTTTCTTTTTACTTTTGTTTCACTTGACTAACAGAGTTTAAAATGGCTCAGAATGTATTTCTATTAGCAACATGTCTAGAAGTTTGTTGAAATTCAGACTAAACATGACTTTCATTGCACCATTTGAAGATAAATTATCTCTGTTCAGTTTCTAAACTTGACAAATTCCAGAATTCCCCTTGTTAATGGTACTTTATGACAACTTCCAGGATGTTCTGTTTCAGAGATACCTTCCTGCACAGTCACTACTTCTGGAGCTTCCACTGCAGGTGACCTCCCTTTTTTCTAAAAACACTCTTAGAACTTTCAATTGTAAAGACACATTTTTGATACATTTGGCTTTTTCCAGGCATGTATGATATGTGTTTTTCCCCCTTTGATAATTAGAAATAATGGTTCAATACTTCTATACATTGGCGATAGTCTGTCTGCAGTCATTTTTCTTAATGGTTTTCTGATCCTTTGAAGACCTTTTTTTTTTTTTTTGTAAGTAATCCCCAGGCTGGAAGACCTTTTTGTCCCTGCTTTTGAGTGTATTATGGAATTGTTTGATCTTTCAGGATTGGACCACTGGTCCTGATGATAAAGCCACCTTGCTGCCTAGTAGGGTAGAAAACTGCAGCTTCTGTGACAACATGGTGCTTAGTAGCACTTAACTAGGTAAATACTTAGTAAAGGTATCTTTTAAAGCAAAGGATTTTCCTACCAAAGATAAGTCCCTTTTTTTTTAAATTTTGTATTTACATTGTATCTCCGTTAGTCTCCCTTCAGATTAGAAAAAGGTAGAGGCCCTTTGTTAGACATGTGCTCATCTTTAAAAAGATACAGTGTCTCTCTATCAGACTGCTATGACCTCAGGTTCCAGAATATCAAGGCAACATTCTTTTAAAGGCATGCTTCACTTTGGTTTGACCCCAAGCTGAGAACCAGTCTCCTTGTCGTCCAGGATGAGCTGGCTCGGGCATCACCTCTCCGGGGGCCCCGAGGACACTTCCTTGCTCAGGACACACATGTCACTTTTCTCACTCATGTCGTCTGAAGATGAGCCTTTCGTCTCCGACTTGAGGTAGGAAGTCAGGTGCCTTTTCTCCCAGGTTTTGCTGTTAGTTGGAATACCCAGCCAGTCTCCTTGTGAAAGGAGCCCAGGCAAGAACAGTGGCTTGTGGGGAGGGTGGGAGTTAGCTAGCCCCATGTGTACTTGGAAAGGGGGCAACCGTGCTTGACTCGTGAAAGAAGGACCGCTTGAGTTAAAGGAAATCTCTTCATTCTTAGTTTAAATTGTCCTGTCCTGGCCAAGTGAAACTTTATTTCTGGTGACTGCCTGTGATTTCCATGCCTTTGACATAAACGTATCAGAGATTTGACTTCGATTAAGAATTTGAAGTAAACAAAGAGGCCTGAGTGGAAGGTACAATAAATTCTTAGCACTGCCCGTTTGATTAAAGAATTAACAGAAACTGCCCAGACAGACGCATTCAAAGTGAGGACAGTCAACATTTGGTGAGAAGGGTGCCTGGCTTCTTAGGAGAGGGCGTTAGGACAGAGTGAAGCCAGAAAGAGGGATGGTGTATTGTACCAATCTGAGGCATTCCTAGGTAGGAGAATCCGATGAGACTTTGGCTGCTATCATCCCTGTTTCCCACTAAAGCTTCCCTCTGCTTTTGATGAGCATCTCCCTTGGTTTTCTCAGGACCATCTCGATTTTAGCACCGAAAGTTCTCTATCCTAGTTCTCCTTCCTCTATCCTGGAAAATTGAGATGGTTGGTCATCCTGACTGCATTTCAAGGTATTTGGGTAGCACATATATTGGCTTAAAAAAAAAACTGAACCAGATGTCTCTGCCTTCTTTGTTCCTCAGCAAAGTGAAGAATGCCCCTGTCACACAGTGGATGCTGAAGTCATGTTAACACCAGCTGCCATCAATTGCATGCCTACCATGCACCAAGTACATGATATTGTTGAAGGCTCATGGCAGCCAAGAGCTAGAGTACTTAAAACACAGTTGGAGGAGGAAGATGAGACCAGAGCTGAGGGCAGTGATGGGGTCTTTCTTAAGCTTAAAGAGTAGAATGTAGCTGAGCTGGATTTGAAATTCAGTGTGGATAAATCTGCTCTTTCTGCTTGTGAATGGACAGAGTCTCTGATTTGGCACAGTTCTGTGGCATCCACTGTATCCATCATGTCCGAGCTTGTTCCTATTCTTCATGGTGGCATAAGCATCCTTTGGGGCTCATATATAGACAAACTGCCAAGAAGTTACAGCAACTACTTCATCTCATCTATAGCAGCCCCAGATTAAGATAGGCCATCCCCCCCACCCCTTGCTCTTGCTTTCTCTCTCTCTCTCTCTCTCTCTCTCTCTCTCTCTCTCTCTCTCTCTCTCTAATTCTCATTCTGTTTTGATAGGGTTTTGCTCTGCAGGCTTCACTGGTCTCAAATTCTCCTGCCTTATTTTCCCAGGTACTGGGATTACAGGTGTGCTATGTCACACCTCGTCATCTTTCTGTTTTTAATGGAACTACTAAATGCCTGGCACATAAAAAGTGCCAAGGGAAGGGCTGGCATTGTTATTTTAATCATGACAGATGAACAATAAGCTTGAACTGAAATGTCTGCATCTATAAATCTAAACATTTTAATAAAAAAAAATCACCAAAGATTCAGAGTATTAGAACAGAGTTCTTATTGAGTTCAAAATTAAGCAAACACACACACACACACACACACACACACACACACACACACACACACACACACAGACAATTGTTTCCAACAAGTAAAAGTTAGCTTCTCAGTTATTTGATTTGGAGTAGATAGAAGACTGGCTTCCTTGCTGTGATAAAAGGTGTTATGCACATAATTTTAAGATAGAAGCAGAAAATTCTTGTCTAGGGCTGCAAGCTGTAAATGGTTCATTTCGGGGAGGAAAAAATCTTCCCAGGTGCTCAGCCCTCAGAAATCCCTTCACTAAAATCAAAGATGATTGAAGCTCTTAGCATAATGATGGAAGCCCTCACTGGTAGGCATCATGCTGCGAAGGAAATGCCTTGGATTGTGTAGAGATGCAGAAAGCTCTTAGACTACCCTCTGCTTTTATTTCATCAGTTCACACCCGAGAGTTATGTCCTCTACTACAGAATTGAAACGCAGTTCAAGTTGCGTAATTTAGCCCAGAGGAGCTGGATTTGAGAAAGACTTGAGGACAATAGAAGAGACAGTGAATCTATTTGATCCAATCAGCAAATATTTATCGAGTACTCACTCAGTTTCAGGGTAGTGTGCTGGATGCTGGGCATGCAAAGAGGAACAACGGTATGTGCTTCCTGGCAATAAGGAGCTCACATGGAAGGGGATGAAATAGGACCAGTATGAAAGCAGATTCTTCAGGACCAGTTTCAAATGTTATACATGGCTATGACAGAAGACCCTAGGCCAGGTGGAGTTAGTAACAACTAATTCCCTGAGTTCTGGAGGTTGGAGTCTAAGATTGGGGGAATACGGTTGGGTTCTGTGAGGCCTCTCCTGGCTCAAGGGGTACTTGCTTGGTGTCTCTTCATCAGTCCCATTAACTCAGGATTCTATCCCTCTGACCCACTCACTGAGCTTTACTTCCTAGGAGTCATCTCCATATACAGCCACACTGGGGGCTGGGGACTCAATATGATTTCAGGGAACGTCTGTCAGTCCACAGAAATAATCCCTAACTCACTTCAGAACAAGCATCAACACATACATGTGCCATAATTCTCTTTTTCTTCACATACCTATGAGTGGAAAATGAAAGGGTATTTTACAATTGTATTTTGAAATTATCTGGTTATAAGTAGTGATTAGCCACTGGCTGCTGCTTTTCAGCAACCATGCCTCTTGAGAAACAAGAAAACCTTAAACGTATTTTCAAATACAATAAAATACTTGTGAATTTGACTGTGTGTGGTGACATAACCTTTAGCCCAGGACTCAGTAGGCAGAGGCAAGTTCATCTCTATGAGTTCCAAGCCAGCCAGGACTACATCAGTCTGTCTCAAAATGGAACAACAAAAACACACCAAACAACAGAATTCCTGAGTTTGAAATGGACATAATGTTAACTTTCAGTGTTTGATTTAGCATTAATTTTGTTTTACATGTTTTTCCAAGTCTTAAGAGCACATAAGATCTTAAATTGGTAATTAGAGCCTAAGTATTATCTGTAATGCCTAACAGATAAAAGGACGAGGGGTGCTCTGGCGCCCAGAGACTCCAGCCAAGCCTCCCTTCTGAGCTCTTGGGTAGCATTCCCAGTTCTTTGTTTAGGATCTTGATGACTCACTGGGTCTTTGGACTAGGTGTGTTTCAAGCATCCTCCCTTCTTGCCTACCTCCTGTTCTGTTTTCCTTGCTGTCCTGTTGCAGAGACGCCATCTAGCTGGTGAAGACTTGGAAGCTATTGCAGTCACCAGTGGCCTCCAAATCCACCAGGTGTCAGGTGGTAGCAGAATGCTTGCTTAAGAATTCCCTGGAGGCCGGGCGGTGGTGGCGCACGCCTTTAATCCCAGCACTTGGGAGGCAGAGCCAGGCGGATCTCTGTGAGTTTGAGGCCAGCCTGGGCTACCAAGTGAGTCCCAGGAAAGGCGCAAAGCTACACAGAGAAACCCTGTCTCGAAAAACCAAAAAAAAAAACAAAAACAAAAACAAGAATTCCCTGGAAACCTGTTATGGTAGGAACTTCTGGACTTCTTTGGAGACCTGTGCAGTTGGTCTGGGGCAAGGCTTTGGAACTTGTTTCAACAAGTTGTCCCATTCGGTAATGCTTGGGCAAGCTATTAGCTTTCTTGTCGCTGTGACAGAATGCATGATCTAAACAACTGAAAGAAAGAATTATGTATTTTGGCTTATGATTTCAGAGATTTCAACCCATATTCCTCAGCCCCATGGACTATGGGCCCATGTTGAGTTCATCATGGTGGTGGGAACATATGAAGGAAGATAGTGTAGGATAGACAGGAAGCAGGGAGGGAGGAAGGGGCTGCTCTCTGGCCCCTTTAAAGGCTACCTTCAAAGGCATGACCAGCCCCCTTCACAAGGCAAAACCTTCAAAGGTATGATCCCAATGAAGTACTTCTTCCAAATAGGCCTTACCACCTAAAGTTTCCAGAACCTCTCCAAATCACACCACCAGCTGGGGACCTTCAACACAACAACAACAAGAGCATGAACTATTGGTGTAATAGAAAAGACATATACCATAACATCTCATTGATTTTATTGCTCCAAAGCAGGTCTGGAGGGCTCCCCAGCTGTTTACCCCCCAGGGCAATACAATCTTATGATTGGTCAGCCATGTTTTACTTTGACTTCTAGGGCATCTAGAACTTGGTGACGGCAACAGTGGTTCCTGGGGAAATGGTGTCGTGTCTTGTTTATTTTATTGCAAATGTGAGGCAGGTCCCTTCCTTAATTTTCCGTAGCACATCAGAGATCAGGTACAAATGTTTCATGAGACTTGCCGTAGGAGAGTCATACAAAAAGGTAATGACAACATGGTGCAGGCTCAGACTCATTCTTAGGCCCCACTGACTCCAAGTTGACCCAACTTTCCCATGAACCTTGAAGCAGCTTACCTTCATCGACAGAAACGACGGTTGCCATTTCCATGACTGAAATTCAGGCCAGGCTTTCCACCTCAGAAAGAGGAGGGAGTTTTTTCCCTCACTTCACTGTGGCATCCCAGTCCCTTGAGCATTTGTTTCCTAACCTGGAATTGCAGAAAGTGGAAGTATCCATTCTCTTCAGGGAAAATCAACTCCAGGTTAAAGTTGTGGGGTGTTCTGCATCGGGGCCATCCACATGTCAACTCTAGTAGCTGAGTCCCGGTTCTAGCTGCTCTTTCAGTTCCCCATCATTCTTTCTTTAACAGATGCTCACCGCTCTTGGGTTATAGCTTACTTCACCTGTGGTACACCCTCTGGAGACAGTAAATTAATTATATGTCTTTCAGCTGGTACAATAAGCCCCATGAGATAGTGTCCCCATCTGAACAGACAGGAAGTAGGGAGCTTAAACCACTTAGCTGAGGCCATGTCACCAGGGAGGGACATGCTGGCATCTGACCTGATGTCTCTTTGTTTCAAGTTTGTGAATTTAGCTATTATGAAACCCTGGCAAACATTGAGATGATAGATTGGACATTGAACTCGAGTGATAGATTGTTCCTTAATGGGTCAAAAAAATTAAAAAGTCAGAGAAGGCATGCTGAAAGAGGGGGCTGATGGAGTCAGCCTGGATTATGAGTCAGTCTCTTGGCACCATGGGTCTCTGATCTCTTCTTTATTGTTCTGTCTTGATCAATGGTTATCATTCTTCAGCATCTTTGTTAACAAGTTAATCATCCTCCTCGACTCTCCAGGAGCCAAGTACCAGCTCGTGCCGTGGTGAAGCAACCTATCCGCGGAGCCAGTGGCAGGACCACGGTCACAGCTATTGTTCAGACTGGTGGAGACTGGAGCACCGGCCTCTTCAGTGTCTGCAGAGATAGGAAAATCTGTACGGGTTTCCTTTTCGCTCGCGCTCCCCCTTACCGTTTTCTCCCATGAGGTATCATATCAGTAAGTGGAAAAGCTACCCCAGCACAAGGTCAGAAAGTAAATGATTTCAGTTGAACCGGACAAGTCTGGTGTCTCAAGCCTACTCCAGAGTTGGGGGGAAAAATCATGCTTTTCAACAATGTAGACCCATTCATAGGACAATTGCTATTTTCAAAGATTTTTTAAAATTTAAATGGTTAAAAAAAATTTAAAAAATGGATTAATAAAAAATAAAATAAAAAATAAAAAAAAATAAAAAAAATTTAAATGGTACAATCCATTGTTGACAAAGATACATATAGCCTCCCTTGTCCACTAGATGGGACAGTGTGAGCTGGTAGAGAATAGCAAGGGTTACAGTAGCTGTTTACCTGATAACTACATTTCTTAGTAGGAGCTTAGTCTGAGGAAATACATTATGTGCAACATTTACCATGAACATTAACACTGAAGCATTGGTTACTGTTGCAAAGCTTGGAACAGCATATATATTGCATCCATCCACTGAATTATTATGCAGCTATGAAAAGTCATGTAGTAGAGTAACATTTAACGAGTAAAAAGATCTTTTGTGTACAGTTTTGTTTTTATTCATTAATTTATTTTTTGAGACAGTGTCTCGCTGTGCTTCCCTGGCTGGTCTGGAACTCTTAGAGATCCACCTGCCTCTGTCTCCTGAGTGCTAGAACTAAAGATGCATGGTACCCCACCTGGCTTGCATATGGTTTTGGGTTTAAGAAGCCGAGTGAGTGCAAAACTGTGTTCATCAAGTTCCATCTGGAAGAAGTGAAAGCAGTTAGAAAAATATAGAAGGATACAAATACTATTATTTACAGCAGATGTCTCCAGATGGCAGGCTAACATCTGCATTTCATTTTTTTATTATCTCTTCAATATCTCCATGAAGAATATGCATTACTCTTGTAACAAGAATGATCTGAAAGGAAACCCCCTTTGTTGACTGAGGTCTTTTCTGACTCTGGTTCAGTTGTCAAGAAGTTCTAGTTTCAGGACTGACCTCTGGCTTAGAGCAAAGGCACACTGAGCCTCTGTTTATCTCAGCTGCTGTGTGTCACCATCCAAGAACCCGTGAGAAGCAAGTATGTGTCCTGCCTTCTGTCTACCCTGTTCTCCCCAGAGGCAGCTACTCCTATGTTAAGAGTCTAGATAGAGTCCACATACTTAGGCAGCTATGGAAAGATTTTAAAAGAAAATATACTTTAAAATTTAAAAACACCATCTAATGATCATAAAAAAGAAAAATATAAAAAGACAACCAAAGGACAGAACAGTATCTATAGGTGTGGATGTTTTGGTGCTCCCCACTCCCCTGCGCCCGCTCCCCAGATCCCTTACTTATATGTGTGCATAATTTACATAAATGGAAGAATTATAAATACGCATTGCTAGACACCTTGGTTTTAATGTCACACACATTTAGGTGATCACACCACATAAGCACATCTGGAGCTAATTTCTTAAATTGCTTTATGAATCCCTTTGTACCACAGTTTATTTATGCAGAAACTCCTATTGGTGGGCCTTTATGTGGTTTATTCAAACCAATGCTGTGTGACTATGCTTGTTCAAATGCCATTTTTGCATAGTGTGAGGATATCTGTCTTGGGTAATTGCTAATGAGTAAACTTGCTGACCAAACCGAACATGCCTCTTTAAATTCCGGTAGGCGTTGCTGAGTGGCTTTCCTTCTGGAAGGTAAATTTGTTTACACTCCCACTGGCAATGCATGCATGAGCTTTGTTCCTCTCTAGAGTATCTTATTATTGGAAGGCTTGGCTCCCTTGCAATAACTGATCTGAAATGTGCTGTGCTCAAGTTTCCACCCGCCTTGCCTACTTCTGCTCTCTGGGCCTCCACACCATGGCTTCTTGTCTTTGTCTTGACTTGCCTGTGAGTTGGAAGAATGGCATTCCACACACAAGGGTAGAGAATAGACCTGGGTTTAGGTAGGCTATGGAAGTAAAGGAAAAGACTGAATGTGTGCCACAAATCCCCATTGACCTTGAGCTCTGTAAAAGAAGAAAATATATGACTAATATGCTGTTGGCACATTCACCTTATAAAAAATAAGATGTTACAGAAAAAGGATCCTTGTCTCTTTGTAAATACCAATTTGGGGTTGTAAACAAGAGCAACCACAAAAATCAGTTGGGAAGATTCCCTTCCAGGTATTTTCTCTGTATTTACCTGTGTATCCATTAGCAGTATTGTTACTGCTTTGTAACTCTTGAAGCAAAGTGTAAATGGTATTAAACGGTACCCCTTATGCAATTTGATTTGTTTAAATTCAAATTAGTCTTAGAGACTTAACTATATTGGTACTTAACTGATTTTTTATCATTCTTTTAAAAAAGTGTGTGTGTGTGTGTGTGTGTGTGTGTGTGTTGTATGCAGGTGTGGGTACCAGTGTGCATGGGCAGAGGCCAGAGGAGGACATCTGATATCCTCCTCTATTAGACTCCATTTTATGCTCGTTTGAGACTGGGCCTCTCGTTGAACCTAGAGCTAGGAAGGCAGCCTCCAAGTCCCGCCACTCCTCTTGTCTCTGTCTTCCGAAGTCCTGGCATTTCAGGTATGTATGCTGGCTTGTTACATGGGTGCTGGGATCCAAGCTCAGGTCCCCATGGTTGCACAGCAAGCGTTGGTAACCACCGAGCCACCTCTCCAGTCCTCTTACCACGTTCTTAGTGGTCACCTGCTCATGCTCTGTTTGTTCATTAGCCCACTGACATACATTTACATTGTTAGATTTTGTCATCTAGACCATGCTACAGTGACTATCCTTGCAGCTGTCTTTTTGTGCAATTGCATAAGCACTACTCTAGGCGCTGATAAGTGAAATTATTCATTCCTAGAGTATTTTAAGTCTTAATAGATTGAGCAAAGTTATCATCTAATGTGGTTAGGCCAATTTCCACATCCATGTATTGTTACTTTATGTCCCCAAACATACATTAAAAACGAGGCATTCTTATGAGTAGCAAGTGGCTTCTGATAGTATTTATATGCCTTTCTAATGACATTATTGTTGGCCATTGGTATTTCCTTTTCAGCAGCTACCCACTTATGCCCTGTGCCATTTTTTTTCTCTTCTGCTTTCTTTTATCTATGGATTTATAAGAGTGCCTCCCATATACTAGATGCTTACCCTGGCCTCTGATATCACTGCAAAGCCTCCCCCTTCAGAAAAAGGATCCTATCCTTCTACTCTTGTGCATTCCTTTTTGGGGTCTAGTCTGAGTGTTCTCATCTCCAACCACACTCCTCCCATGCAGAGCAGTGACACTTGACTCAGAGGGTCCTTCTGAAAATAGTCACATGAGTTCAGACCATCCCACAGGGATAAATATAATGGGCATACTGTCCTGGAATACACAAACCCTTTTGCATTATGATAGCAAAGAAATGTAAAACATGAGAACATATGGACATATGTATAGTACTACGATTTTGGGATCAGTCTCCTGGAGTTCAAATCTGGTCTCTGCCCTTCACTAATAATATTAATAAACTTAGGGACAATTACTTAGTTATGGAGAGTACGTGAAGTCATTATAAAATGGGACTAGTAAGAGGACCGATTTTATGCATTGATTGGGTTTCTGAGATAGGGTCTTAGTAAGCACAGGCTCTTCTAGAATTTCCTGTGTATCCCAGGCTGTCCTTGAACTCATGATCCTACTGTCTCAGTACCACAAGTACTGTGGTTATGGGGCAGGCTATCATGTAGATCTTAGAAGTGCCAGGCAGTGGTGGCACATGCCTTTAATCCCAGCACTCAGGAGGCAGAGGCAGGCGGATCTCTTGAGTTTGAGGCCAACCTGGTCTACAGAGCGAGTTCCAGGACAGCCAGCAGTACACAGAAAAACAAAAGAAAAAGTGCCTAGTTTATATGATTATTTCAAAGATTAAATGAACTAACATGTGCAAAATGTTTTCAGCAAGAGCTTGCTTGGCACATAGCGAACTCTTTATAAACATTAGCTATTGTGAAATAAAAGTTTGAGCTTCATACATTTTTTTTAAAAAAACACAGCTTACTTCTAGTTCAAGGTGGTTGAATTTGAGTATTGTGGTTTGAATGAGAATGCTCTCCATAAGTTCATATGTTTCAATGCTTGGCCCCCAGATGGTGGAACTGTTTGGGAAGGATTAGGAGGTATAGCCTTGTGGGAGGAGGTGTCACTTTTTTTTTTAAGGGATGGGCTTTGAGGTTTCAAAAGTCCACATCATTTGCAGTTAGCTCTTTCTCTGCCTCTTGCCGTGGATCCGATGTAAGCTCCCAGCTGCTGCTCTAGCGCCATGTCTGCCTGCCTGTCATCATGCTCCCCACCATGATGGGCATGGACTCTAACCCCATGGAACCATGAGCCCCCAGTTAAATGCTTCCTTTTAGAATTTGCTGCAATCCTGGTGTCTTGTCACCTCAGTAGAAAAGTAAGACAAGTATCTAAAAAGCACACTTACATAGCATGGTTATCTGACAGAAAGATTAAAAATCAACCGACTAACCAACAAACAAAAAACCCGGCATGTGGGTCCTATCATGGTATAGAAATGCTGAGGCACAATCAACTTCTTTACAGGGTGTGGCTCAGCTCAGAGACGTGTGAACAGAATTGATCTGGTGCTTCATTTGCCAGCCTTACAGTTAGGCAAATTTTTATTAATTGCTTTATTTATGGGAATTTACAGTATTTCATAATCTTCACAGAACGTGCCATTGATTTCAAATTGCCCTAATTCAAGGTTGCAGGTGCTGGGAGCCCTCTGTGCTTGCTTCAAATTTGCTAGACCTTTTGCTGTTTTCCAAATTGTTCATACTAGTTGTTAGTGCTGGATAGAATCTCCTGTTCTGCTTGGGAATTATTTTTTAGTGCTGGGGACTGATCCTTGTGCATTCTAGGCAAGTACACTACCATGGAGCCATATCCCCAGTCAGAATTTTTTTTTTAATTCAGGTTAAAATGTTGCAGAATTACTTGAGGCTATACTTTCAGCTACATGGTACCTACCATACCTTTGTATCTGGGGCACCGGAAGCTGTGGTGACTAACACTTCACACGTGCTACAATGGCTAAAATTAAAATTCTGACAATAGCAAATGCTGGCAATGATGTCAATCCATTGGAAGTCTTGAATGTTGCCAGAGGGGGTACAGAATAGTACAAATGCTTTGGAGAACTATTTCTCTATATTTGTAGAATTAAACATATGACCTAGCAGTTCCACTCTCAGGAAACTACTCAAATAAAATTAAGGCATATATCCACACACAGAATTGGAGGTATGTCCAAATAAAGTTTTACATAGGAGTATGCATAGTGGTATTGATATCAAAAAATGGAGCAATAAAATGTTGATTAGTTGGAGAACAAACAGATTATAGAATTTTCATACAATGAAATGCTACTTGTTTAACAGTAAAAACTACAGATTCATATAACAACATGAGTAAACCTAAAAAAAAAGTCATGATGTTGCACAAAAACAAAACAGTTATAAAAGTAAATGTGATTCTCTTGAGCTGAGAGAGGGCAAAATTTACTTATAGGGATAGAAGTCATGACTGTGTTTCTCCCAGAAGTAGGGGTGGTAAAGGTGGGATTTCCTGTTATATAGGTGAATGCAATTATAATGTCACCCAAAGTGGAAATTTAAGTTTTGTGCATTTTCATATATAAAATTCCCCTTGATTAAAATGTTTAGCATGTATGCTCTATATTTTTATGTTAACTTGACATGAGCTAACATCATTTGAGAGGTGGAAACCTCAATTAAGAAAATGCCTCCACATGATTGGGCTGTAGGCAAGCCTGTAGGGCCTTATCTTAATTAGTGATTGATGTGGGAGGGCCCAGCCCATTGTGGATGGTTCTATCCCTGTGCTGGTGGTCCTGGGTTCTATAAGAAATCAGACTGAGCAAGCCATGAGGAGCAAGCCAGTAAGAAGCACCCCACCATGGCCTCTGCATCAGCTCCTGCCTCCAGGTTCCTGCCCTATTTGAGTACCTGTTCTGACTTCTCTCAGGGAAGAAAATTTAGAAACATAAGCCAAATAAACCCTTTCCTCCCAAAGTTGCTTTGGTCATGGTGTTTCATCACAGCAATGACAACCCTAAATAAGACAGAATGTTTCCCAAGACTGGTTATCATGGCGTTTTTTGTTGACTCATAGTCCTGATTATTTGAAGTCATGGGGGTTGTCATCTTTTTGCAGTTTCAGGTGGTGTAACATCTTACCTGCATGCCAGGAGCTCTTAACTTGTGGCCCGTTAATAGTTTTCAATGACTCTATGAACTCCATGAAAAGGAATGCACAATTTGCCTGCCCACATGTGTGTATTTTCTTTTCCCTTCTGGAGCAAGTTGATAACAGCCATTATATTCCCAAAAGGCTCTGTGGCCTCTAACATCTTTAGATAGAATCCATGTTAGAGAGTCCACTCAGTCTGTGTAGCAACTCATACCAATAGTGAATGGTGAATGAAGTAATAAGTGGAAACCATTTCCAGTTGACACTCAAGGGTCCAGTTGCCTAATAGTTTACAGATTAAAATGGATAAATGTCAGTGGCTCTGTGAAGCTAACAAAAAATTAGAATAACCTCTGACTTGAGAAATAGAATAAAAACCTGATAAGAATAGGAAACAGATTCAGTGTCTACCCAAAAGTTTTCCTATCACTTTTATAGAAAGGGATATCCATTATCCAAGAATAGTCTAGTGTTCTAGGTCCATGTTAAGTAATGAAATTGGATAGAAAAGCATAACAAGTATCAGTTATGATTAAAACATTAGTTAATGTTTTCGACAGAAAAAAAAAATCCAGTTGCCATGATCAACAGTAACAGAATTGTGTCAGATTCAGCTTCGGCAATATTTAACAAAAGAACATGATGTGGCTAGGTAATGGCAATATTCTAGCTCCGAGTTTTGAGAATTGTTATTCATTCTTTGTCCCTGGTTACAGGCAGACAATGCAGTGTTGAATTGATGGCACAGGGTTACGAATCTGTTTAAAATGGAAAGTCGTTCCCTGAATATCTGAGAACACTGGCTTTCTTTTATGTGCCATTGACAGGTTTCTGTGGTCTCTTTTGTCCCATGTGTCTTGAGTGTGACACTGCTAGGCATTATGGAGAGTGTCTTTGTTGGCCACTGTTACCAGGGTCTACCTTTGCATTGAGAATTGGCACCAGAGAGAGACATAAGATACAGGTAAGGGCAATTGAGGCATGTATAAATCTAAATATTTGTGAGAATTTGGATGCATTTCAAACCTATGATTTCCCAAAGTGATTGGGAAAGAGAGAAAGAGAGAGAGGGAGGAAGGGAGGGGAGAGAGAGAGAGAGAGAGAGAGAGAGAGAGAGAGAGAGAGAGAGAGAGAGGAGAGATACATATCAGTGAAGATGCTTAAAAATCTCACATTAATGGAAAACTGTGGAGAATAAAAGTTCTGATTTCATTATTTACTAGGAGTTATTACTTAACTGAAATGCTGTATAATGAAGGATATTTCCAAGAAGAAATAACAATGCTGGTTGTTGGTCAACAGGTTTAGTCAAATCATTGACTAACTTACACTTCCTAGGATGTACTTTGATGCCCAGAAATAGGAGGTTGTAGCCACTATCCCCTCCCATCTACAAAAATAAAACCACATCTAAGTCTCTTATTACTACAAGACAGGGCAGATGGACTCAAACCTAAGTACTTTTTGTGAGGTCCAACTTAAAGTGTAGCCCATGTGATACATGTACAATTTACTTTGGTGGTTCCTTGGCTTCCTTAACTTCTAGTAGAGCCAAGACTGAAGTCTGAGAGGGTGAGGAGAGGTGGATGACAACACACACAGACACAGAGGATCTTCAAAAGGGAAACTTCTGCATTGGATACATAGGCACAGGCACACAGAGACACAGATAGACAGACAGACAGATGCTCTCTCTCTCTTTGTTTCTCTCTCACACACCTAGTATTTAGGTATTTTGTGGGATGATCTCTACAATACCTTCCTATGTGAACAAAACAAGACACAGACTTGTGTAACTATTCACACATAAGGATGATATGTGTATATGTTTAGGCCGATAAAGTTTGCCTGGAAATGTAACTGGTAACCAGTGATTGTCTCCAGGCAGGTAGTTGGGTGGCTGGGGACAGCTCTGGGGGAGGAGAGGGGAGATTTTCTTTTCACTTCCATCCCTTTTTACTATGGGGATCTGGGACCATTCTATTTATTACCTGAAGGGACACTAGTGCACTCAAGTGTGTGGTCTTGCCCTTCTCCCCAATTCCCTCTGCCTTGCTAAAAACCTTTAGATTGCATTCCTAAAGCTAGCCACCAAGGTCTGTTCCCTTATTTGGCCACTTCCTCCTCCTGAGGCTGACTACCAAGGTCCAACTATGAAAATATTGAAGTCTAGCAATCAAAAGCCCCCTTGGCTCATCTAATTAACATGCTCAATTAAAATTAAACACCTCACCCTAACACGGGGTTTCCCATTTACCTTTAAAAGCTGCCATTTTCTTATGTGCCACGTCTGTCTCCTCCCTGTCCAGTGGCAGTCCTTTGTCTGTCCCTCCTCCCCAGGGATAAAAACTCCTGCCCTCCTCCCTTGTTCCCTTCCCCTTCTCCCTGGTCCTCTATCTCTTGTTTTGTTTTTTGGGTTTTTTTGTTGTTGTTTGTTTTTTGTTTTCTCTTATTCCTTGTCCTCTGTCCCTCTGGGCCTAACGAATCTTTGTGCTGAGACCTTAGTTTTGGGGTCCTGAGCCGATACTTTTCCTTTCACTACCTACTACAGGAGATAAATATGATGATTCTAAGAGACACTAAAAAGGAAAATCGGAGGTTTCAGTAAGAGACACATGTCAAAAATCGAAGGGGCAGGGCTCTGAAGTGCAGATATTGACCAGCCACTGCTTGACACTTGGACTACCCAGTGTCCTAAGTGTTGACTTAAGGATTTGGTGGATCTTGGAAGCAGAGGGTGGGATGGGCCAGCAGGTAACATTACTCAGGTCCTTGAGAAACCAACGGTCCTGTATCATTGCCAATAGTAATCAAGTCTTGCCCTAGGGGACACTCTGTGAAGACTGGATGGTGGTGCATTGCTGCTGGCCATTCTCGGTCTGTCAGGTGGCCCGAGAACTCAAGATGAGAACCCCCCAGCTCTACGAAATCTGTGCAGTGCCAGCACCCAAGGACACCCTGGTTTGACAGCACTCCTGCCCTCCCTCTGCTGCGCTTTCCTCTCAAACCTGTCTTAGATTGTTTTTTATTCATTAGGTTCTCACTGAAATAGAATAAATGATTTACTCCCCGCTGCCCCTGCTGTGTTGATTCCCCTGAGGTCTTGAGTATTTTCTGACTCTGCTACTTTGGTCCAGCCATGCAGAGTACCTTCTAGTGTCCCTTCAGTACCCTGGGTTTTGGGAGGTTGACTTTTCACCTAGTTTTCTGATGCCATCCTTTCCTGAGAGGTGACTGTGAGGCTGGAAAAACTCCCATGTATCTTTATTGTATCAACCCACTTTCAGTGATGGTGATGTATCAGTGGTGGGCCCGGCATGACTAAGTAGGCACCGGTGTCTTTGAAACAGTAAGCCATTGCCCTTCCCCTGGCCCAACTCCTTAGTCTTCGTTGCACAAGAAGGAAGTCTGAAGTGGGTGCTGATCTTGAACTCTTCTCCAGCACTTGCAGGCCCCTTGCTCCAGGCTCAAAAATCATAATTGGGCAAACATTGCGGATTAAATTGTATTTCCTGCTTCTCCTACACTCCACAAAATATAGGTTGCCAGCCCAATCCCTGGTACCTGTGAAGGAGACCTTATCTGGGAACAGTCTTTGCAAATATGATGAAATCAAGATGAGATCAGCTGGGTGAGGCCCTCATCCAGCATGGCAGGTGTCCTCCAAAGAAGAGGGAGAGGTAGAGACACGTGTGAAGTCACATGAAGACTGTGGGGGAGACTGAAGTAATGATGCTGCCAGGCAAGGACTGCTTAGGGATGCTGAAGCTGGAAGAGGCAAGGAAGAATCCAGCCCAGAGGTGTGGAGGAAACATGGTCCTGCCAGTATCCTGCGTTTGAACTTCACCCTCTAGAAATGTGACAGAGTAAGTTTCTGTTGTTTCAAGACACCAAGGTTGTGGTAATTTATACACCATCCCTCGGAGGCTAGTGTGGCAGCCACCTACCTTGTGATTTGAGTATGCCATCTAGTTCTTGTCAGGTCAACAGCACGGAGCCGAAGGGCCCTTCAAACACCTAGTAACTGATCGTGCATCTATAGGCAGCTTTGCTACCTCCCTGTGTCTCGTTTCCTCATGGATAAGAGGGTAGTGATAGCATTGATCTTAAAGGGCTGTGAGGTTATAACAAGTCAAGCCATGTAGCACTGTGCGGAGTGAGTGGCATTAAGGACTCAGCAAATACACTATTTCTCTTTCTGTCCCTGTCTCTGTCTCTCCCTTTGTTTTTTTTATTTTTTTTTATTTTATTTCTCTGTGTAGCACTGGCTGTCCTGGAACTCACTCTTTAGACCAGGCTGTCCTCGAACTCAGAGATTCTTCTGCTTCTGCCTCCCAAGTGCTGGAATTAAAGGCATGTGTCACTACTACCTGGCTTTTTTTTTAGGGGGGAGGGGGGTGTAAATGAATGGAACATAAATTCATAATACCAGCCAGCAAGTTCATGAGAGGAGATAAGTCGTAACAAGGTAAGCATCCTGGAAAGTGTGCTTTTAATAATCATAGCATAGCTTAACCTCCATAAAGCATCTGGTCTACACCCAGAAGACTTCACAACCAATGGACACTTTGAAGTAAACCTACCTCTAATAAACACAAACTGAGCTATTTATAATATCATAAACTGAAACACCCAAACCAAAAGAAGGATTGGAGAAAGAAACTTTTCTTCGGAACTATAGAGAAAATACCGTAAGGGTAAGATGAAAGATATATTAAAAGTAAAATCAAGGGAAGATAAAACCTTGTACCTTTTGCATAATGAGTTAACTAGAAAATCCCTAAGAGAACTTTAGCTAGGAGGCCTGAAACCAAATGAGCTACCTAAGAGCAATTTCAAGAATGAGCAACAGTGGGATGACTTCTAGGTAGAGGTGAAAAGCCTAACAAGCTTGGTGATCGCTGGCTACCCAATAATGACACTATTGATAATTTATGGCTGTGGTGTTTTGAAAGAAAATGGCCCCCCAAAGGGAGTGGCACTATTATTAGGTGTGGCCTTGTTGGAGTAGGTGTGGTTTTGTTGGAGGAAGTGTGTCACTGTGGAGGTCTCATATATGCTCAAGCCATATCCAGTGAGACAGACCACTTCCTGTTGCCTGTGGATCAAGATGTAAGAACTCTTAGCTCCTTCTCTGCCACCATGCCTGCCTGCATGCTGCCATGTCCTGCCAAGATGATAATAGACTAAACCTCTGAAACTGTAAGCCACCTCACTGAATGTTTTCCTTAATAAGAGTTGCCATGGTCATATGTCTCTTCATAGCAATAGAAACTCTAAGACAATGACTATCTTACATTTGTAGTAAATTGTACTAATTTTTATTTATAGTTAGGGCATAAAGTTTCTTAACTGCTGAGCTATCTCTCCAGCTAGATGTAAACTTTCTTTCAAAATTAAAAAGGAAATTATTTTATGTGCATGGGTGTTTTGGCTGCTTGTATCTCTGTATACTATTTGTATGCCTGATGCCCATAGAGGCCAGAAGGCATCAGACCCCCTGGAAATGGAGTTACAGATGGCTGTGAGCTGCCATGTGAGTGCTTGGAGATGAACTTGGGTCTTCTGGAAGGACCAATGCTTTCATGTCTGAGCCATCTCTCAAGGCCTGTAAAGTTTCTTTTAAAATTAAATTCTCTGTGAAAATGGAGTCAGTTAAATAGGCATGATAGTTCACACCTGCAATCCCAGCACTTGGAGGACTAACTCAGGAAAATTGCCATCATTCAAAATAAAATAAGTTAATAGCATAGCTGGTAGGTGGACGTAGCAAACACTCTGAAGGGGTAAAACTCTGATTTCAAAAAAACAATTGTGCTAATTATTATTCTTGTGTATTGTGTTGTATGTTCACTCGTGGTGTATGTGTGCCATGGAGTGTATTTGGAGACCAGAGGGCAACTTTTGGGAGTCCTATCACGGGTAACAGGGATGGAACTTAAATGATCAGGCTTGTATGTTAAGTGTTTTTACTGACTGAGTCATCTCAATGGCCCAACACTAACAAGCTCAAAGTGCTCTGCATATTTTGAGTTATTCAACCCTTAATATTTCTTCTTGATGAACACTTCAGAAAAGAGGCCTGAGTCCCAGAAATGCAAGTGACCTTTCCAAGGCCCCATCACCCCTTAAGCCCACATGGTTGCTCAGACCAGAACCTTCTTTATAGAGGTGAATTCTTCATGGTCACCTTTGCCAGATACACATGCAGGCAAAACACCCTATACATAAAATAATTTCCTTTTGAATTCTAAAAGAAAGTTTGCGTCTAGCTGGAGAGATAGCTCACCAGTTAAGAAACTTTATGTCCCAACTATAAATAGAAATTAGTACAATTTACTACAAATGTAAGATAGTCATTGTCTTAGGGTTTCTATTGCTGTGAAGAGACACCTGACCATGGCAACTCCCTGTCCCTAGTCATTTCCACAAAATCACTTTTGGACGCTCAGAGCAGTTGCTAGGAGCTGGACCTCTTGGGGAAAGATTAAATGCTCCATGTCGACATTTAATCTGTGATCAACCAACAACGGAAAAAAGCAGACCCAGTGGAGAAGATGGTTAAATGAAAATAATCTGTTTTCATTGTTTCACGCTAAAACACATACCAGGCTTCACGGGCTCAAATTGGCAACATACTTAGTTTTGGCCAGGAAGCCTGGAGTAACCTCTGCGCTTTCACACAGTGGATCCGGTCTGAAGAAAGCGAAGATGGCGGTTCATGCCCAGGACTCGGGCGCAGCCTGCCTCTCTGCTGATAGAAAGGGTGTGTGTTAGTGGACCTTTCCCCTAGGGAGCCCCTTTCCCATTTGCTGCTTCTGATCAGTAAAGAGTAAACTTAGTGTTTCATCAGAGACAGGTCCAGGCAAGTCAAACTCAGGGCTCTGAAAACACTGTATCTACCACAGGATTATAGAACATGAAACAGAATTTATACGATAGTTCTTTGCACATAGTACAGAGTAATCCTGAAGGGAGATGGCACTGGGCCACAACTCATGATTTTCTCTAAAAGAACATGTCAAGGCCAAGAAAAAGAACTTGACAAAAACTTGTGCTCCCTATGAGCACCATTGTCCAATACTAGATGTTTCTGTGACAGATAATAACTGATATTAAACATCCATCAGCTGCATCCACTCACCAGCTGTGTGAGTTGGACAGAACAGAGACCCTGGCCCTGGTATGGCCCTAGGGGACACTGTATAGATCGGCTGGTGCTGCTGTTGGCTTTTTTCCATTTGTCAGGTGGTCTGAGAATGCAAGACAAGAACTTCCCAACTCTATGCAATCTGTGAAATTTGTGCTACAAATCTGAAAATTACCCAACGGTGAAGGCACAGTCTGCTTATCATAGACAAATTCCTCTCGGTTTTACCAGGATGCAAACTGTGGAACAAATCTCTGATGACTCCCTGTGGGGCTGCGAATGCCAACACACAGGCAAGAGATGTTCCAAAGTAACCTGCACAGAATGTCACGCATCACAAACCCAGGACACAAGCCAACAGAAAGCTCCTCAACAGCTCTTCTATTTACAGAATAAACTAAGGACAGAAGCTGCATTTTTTTTTTGGATACTCTTAACTTTTTGGAACAAAGCTATGAAAAGTTTGGATGTCCTTGAGTGTCCATTCTCTAGTGCAATCGTTTTTATCTGTTTATATATTTCATGTAGCTAGAATTTATTTATCCCATATTCCATAATGACTTTCTGCATGACACCCCTGTTATGAACATTATTTACAAACATATTAACTCAAAAGTATCCCCCTTTGGTCTTTTTTTTTTTTATCCCTTTTATACTACCTAAGAGAAAAATTTCTATGCAAGAAGGAAATCATCTTACAACCACAAATTACATGTTTTTCAGAAACAAATTAAAATCTTTACACAGGAAGAAATCACATTATGATCACAAGTCATATGTTTTTCTTAGAAACCCACAAGTAGTTAAACATTTTTCTTTGTATTAATTTTTCTACCATAACATCTTCACCCAAAGCAATGTTTTTTTTAATTTAATTTAATTTTATTTTACCATATAATTGAATTCTACATATCAGCCACGGATTCCCTTGTTCTCCCCCCTCCCGCCCCCCCCCCCTTCCCCCCAGACCCCCCACTTTGGTCTTTTAAAAGCACTGAATTTTTTTTTTTTAAAGAAGTAAGCAAAGATAGAAGACTCTATAGCATTTCTGTTTAAATCTCTGTAGAGGAATTAATTTTTCTTCCAGTCTATTTTCTTGGTTCATTTTCCACCTAAATGACACTGCTTCTGCTTGACCAAATGCAGAAATAAGAAGCGATGATTTTTAGATGGCACTCAGACTATCGTAGTTAGAAATCTATCGTAGGCCAAATCATGGCTGACTTTATTATAATATTCAACCATACTGGTTTTTTTTGCTCACCTACCACCTTTTGACCCATGATGATTTGTACTCTGTATAATGGAACTGAGTCCAGACATGAACACCTTAGAAAACGAGGAGATTTTCCAAGCTTCCAGATTTAGCTAGGAGTGAATGGATTTTTTTTTCATCTTAGGTGTTACATAATTTGGTTTACTGGCTAACCTGGGTTCAAAAGATGAACTAAATCTTCGTGAAACCTTTCATATGATCCATAGAAAGTTTCCAGAAACAACAAAACAAAACAACAGCATGTGTAAAAATGTGGAGCAAATTCCTGTTGCTCACACTGTTGAGAATTGGGAGCCATCTTTGTTCTCTATGAAACAGGAAGTGTGGACAATGGGGCCAGGAAGACAAGGCTGTTTGTAGAAATACGGTCACTGGTTCCTGGGGACTAACTTACACTATCCCCTAATTTTTATGTGGAACGCTTGTCTCCACTCAGCTTTTCTTAACATCAAAATTCCTCCCAAATGTGGAATTCTGTGATGGTGCCCCGGCAAGTGCACTCGCTGGGACTTAAGTATTGGTGGCACATAGCTGCTGCACGGACTAGTGTCACACCTAAGGAAACTTTCTATGAAAGCCCACCCTCATCACACTTCGGCTGGTGTTCACTCTTGTTTACAGGCAGGACGGGATGGGAGACTGAGAAGGATGCTTCAGTGTCAAATTAGGACCCCCAACTTTAAAACAACCATTATCAGAGGTACTCCTTAGTTACCTCTGATAATTATGGTACTGAGTCCTTTTAAAAACAGCATTCTTACCAATGTGTTAAAAAGGGAGGAGATGGAAATACATGGTTCAAAAAAAAAAAAAACTATTTGTGAATTTCATTTATCTGAGCAATGTCTCCCTCAGGCTAACACAAGTAACTTGAAAATTGTATTTTAGATTGTAGTTACACACACACACACACACACACACACACACACACACACACACACGCATACACATATGTACAAATACACACACAAACTTACACAGGAATAGACTGTCTTCCATTGGCTTGCCTTTATGATGGCTTTATAAACATACAGTTGTTTCTACTTAAATAGCCCCTCTGTAGACACAATTGTAGATGTAACCAACCGTCTTATTAAATAAGAAACACAGAACCAATACAAAGAAGAAAGCCAAGAGATCAGAGCTAAGAGCTAAAACCTTACCCTTCCTCCTGTGGTGGTCCTACCTCTCCAAAAGAGAGCTACTTCCTGTGTTAAAGTCTTTATAATGACTTTCAGTTCTGCCTTCTCATTGGTTGTAAACCCAACCACATGACTGCCTGTCTGTACAGACCTCCAGGTCTTCTATGGTTGGTATTGAGATTAAAGGCGTGTGTCTCCAATG